GAGAGAGAGAGAGAGAGAGAGAGAGAGAGAGAGAGAGAGAGAGAGAGGATGTCCCTGATTAAGGAAAGGCTGTTGGGGATTCTCAGCTTGTTAATATGTTGTAATTTTCTTCCTAGGACTGCCCTGGGATTCTACTTGAGCTGGTATGCCTTTGTGATTCCTAGGGTCTATCTACCAAAGTCCCTGCAGTTTTCTTGGCAACATTTCAAAAGTGGTTTGCCATTGCGTGCTTCCAAGGGTTGAGAGGTTGTGACTGGCTCAAGGTCATCTAGAATTCACTCTCCTGGTTTCTAGCCCAGTGCTTTAACCACCAGACTGGCTTTTGCAATGAACTGGTGAGGAGACTTCTATTCTTTGGTTTAGATGGGATTAGGTTGGGGGGTGGGGGCTTTATCTGGGTCAGTTTGGGTCTTGATAGGATTAGCAAAATCAGGGGCTGGATTTGCGTCTGGTCACTTCCAAAAGATAGGGAGGAAAAATTATTTTTCCCACCACAAATACACTATCAGCTGCTAGAATGATCCATAAGCAAGCAGCTGTACAATTTTAAATGATCAATAAAAATCAATAAATATTGGGCAGAGTTCTTGGTTTGCAAAGAAAAAATTGAGTGTTCTGAGTTGTAGAGGGAGTGCCGTGTTAGTCTATTGTGGCAAAAAATTAGGAAGACTCTTATATTTAATATACACTGCAAACTGCCCAATTCACAATGACACTGGGCAGTATCTTTATCATCAGAATCCTCCCGATTTTTTTGTCACCATACATTAACACAGTTCTCCAACTTTTCCAGTTTACAATTATTTTTTAAACATATTTTTTAAAATTATTAAAAAAATAAATACTTGAATTGGCAGATTCTAGCTTTATCCTCAAAAAGTAGCCCAAGTAAATAGGGAAAGTTGAAACAAGGTGAGGACACAAAATGAAATCTTAATACAATCCTCGTTTGAACATCCCGCTGAACCTTCAGCTGATTGGTTTAAGTTCACATATGTTGCACAATAGACCATGATTTATAGCTGTTAGCAAAACCAGTCGACCGTGGCTTGCGCCACCAATCATGATTAAACAACTGCACCCCACAACATGCTCGCAGCCTCAAACTGGGGGGAGAAAAATGCAACCTCTCTCCCCCTCCCCTTTCCCCCCCCCCCCCCCCCCCCCCCCCCCTACCCCCCCCCCCCCCCCCGGACGTTCCTCGACTCCAAACTATCCTTCTGGCCCTAAGCAACTGTGCACCACGTGCTCAATAGAAAAGCGCTAGCTTCCCAGAGCGACCCTTTCCCAGCCTAAGCTTCCTAACGTTTCCAAAACCAGGCCGGAACCTATCGTTGGAGGGGATGGCCGAACAAGTCATAGCCTCCGCTTCCGCTCCCTTGGCGGGGGCGCTCTAGCCCTCCGACCTCGCGGTCCGGCCGCCGAGCTGGCGCCTGCGCGTTGCTGCCGAGTCGTCTCTCGCCCGGTCTCTCCCTCTCTCTCTCTCTCTCTCTCTCTCTCTTCCCCGCCCCCCCCTCTCTTCTTCTTCTGCTTAGCTGAAGCGGCGGCGGGTCGCGGGCTGAGGCGAGGTGGGCGCGGGTCTCCGCCAACTATGGACCTGGAGGCGTCCGACGAGACGGGCTCCACTGGAGGAGCCGAGGCGGGAGCCGGAGCCGTCACCCCCGAAGCGGGCGGTTGGGGTGCGCCGCCGGACTCGGCTGCAGGAGGAGGTGAGCGGAGTGAGGCGCCCCGGTCCTGAGGAGGGAGCCCACGGGGTCTCCTCCTCGCGCCAGCAGGGGGTGGGGGGGGACTCCTCCTCCTCCATTATCGTCCGGGGAAACCGTCCTTTCCCACCCGCGATGCGCTTGGCTGCCCGGCCGCACCTGATCGCCCTCCCGGTCCGGGCTTGCTTCCCCCACCCGCTTCGGGGTGGAAGTGCCATCCGAGGATACCGAGAGCCCTTCAGGAGCCCCGGGGCGGGCGGCTTGGGAAGGGAGGGAGGCCGATCATTTCCTCCCACGATTTTGCCCGGTTTTAATCCTGATCCTTGAGGGCAAAACCGCGTCTGGAGGGGGGTTGCGGCATCATCGCGGGGCTCTTGAGGCTAATCCTGGTTTGTTCGCTCCCGTTCACTGGAGGAGGAGACCGTGGCTCGGTCGAGGTTGGGTGGGGAGGGTCGGGGATCGCGGGTTGTTTGTCAGCAGAGGCGCTGATGGCACAATTTGGGTTTATGGGTATTCTGCTGAAGGATGGTGGTTGGGGTGGGAAAAACTGGGTTATTGATAACTGATAAGGAGTCCTCGACTTACAACAGTTCATTCAGTGACCATTTGAAGTTACGTCACTGGAAAAAGTGACCATGGCAGCATCCTCGTAATCACATCAGCAGGATTTGGATGCTTGACCATTGGTTCATATTTGTGACAGGTACAGTGTTCTCCCCAGATTTAGTGAACACCTTTTCAGACCTTCTGACGAGCGAAGTTGATGGGGGAAGCCAGATTCACTTAACAGCCAGGTTACTAAATGAACAACTGTGACGATTCACTTAACAACTGTAGCAAGAAAAGTCGCCAAATGGGCCACAGAATCACTTAACAAATGTCTCGTTTCTGGCTACATAAATGTTGGGCTCAATTATGGTGTAAGTTGAGGACTACCCTTGTCCTTGACTTGAATTAGAAATGAAGGTTTAAATGTAGCCCTGTTTTCCTTGATGTTGGGATGAATATATACAGTATATACAGGAATATTGGGGAGGCATTATCCTAAGGATAATTTAATAAAATGCCATTTATTAATGCAGGTTATTGGTCAGCTGTTAGGACAAGTAGCCCTCGACTTACAACAATTCATTTAGTGACCATTTAAGTTGCAACGGCACTGAAAAATCTGACTTTATGACCATTTTTCAGTTATGATCTTTGTAGCATCCCTATAATCATGTATTTGAAATTCAGATGCTTGACCACTGGTTCATATTTATGACTGTTGCTGTGTCCCAAGGTTATGTGATTCCCTTTTGCGACCTTTGGACAAGCAAAGGCAATGGGGAAGTCAGATTCAGTTAACAACTGGGTTCCTAAATTATCAACTGTGGTGATTCACTTCATAACTGAGCAAGAAAGGTGTTAAAATGGGGCAAAACTCAGTTAACAAATGTTTCACTTAACAATAGAAATTTTGGACTCAATTGTGGTCGTAAGTCGACCCCAGGACATTGCAACTGTCATAAATATGAGTCAGTTGCCAAGTGGCAGAATTTTGATTACGTGACCAGAGGGATGCTGCAAAGGTTTGTAAGTGTGAAAAATGGTCATAACTCACTTTGTTCAGTGCCATTGTAACTTTGTAGTAAGTCAAAGACTACCTGTATAGTTTATGGAAGCAGTACATTGTAGAGTGACCAGAGAAGAGCATAAAAGGTTAATGCAGATTTACAGTACATAAGTTCATTGGATGAGATAATTGGGTGTGGAATGGGAAAAAAAATCAGAATGGCGACCCCAAGAGTAACTTGAGTTAATGCTGTTGATGTATAAGAATGAAAAGTTGAGGATAAGGACATTTACAATAGGATGTAGCAGGCAGATTTGCAGGAGAAAAGCTGGGTGGGAAATATTTAAGATTGTTTGGCAGAAATCGGGGATTTTAAGGAGAGGCTGAAAGTAATTTTAGAGGAAGGGGGATGAATGAGAAGGCAGGAGTGATGAAAGTCTAGTGGGAACTAGAGATTGTGTGGAAAGGGGCTTATTATGCAGTTTTCTGAGTTGAAAAGAGGACAGTTTTGTCATCAGGATGGAGGCAGAAGCGAGAAAATTGGTCAGCTGCAACCAGTATCGTTTCTGGGAAGGTGTATAGGAGACTCTTAGAAGCATGAAAGGAATATGACATAATATGGACATAATCTGGATATAATCCAGCCCCCATCATCACTCTGACCCTCACGTATTAATCAACTGTATTTTTCATCCCCCTTCCAGAAAAATCCTTTGTTTAAATAGGATCTTTCACCATATCCTCCCAAGGATGTTTCTCCCAAGGATGTTTATCTTTTTAGACTTTTCTTTTTAAAATTGAGAACACAGCTTGTTCTTTCTTTCCTCTACCCCAGGGGATGTTGTCATGCCACCATACTAGAATTCAGATACTTCAGATATTTCAGCATACAAGTTAGTTAAAACTAATCTGGTGAGAATTTAAGATGTGCAGCATCTTTTGCTTTCCAGTTGGTTTCACATTCAGTTCAACCAAAGTCGGTGACTTTTTAAACTTCCTTTTTTTTAAAAAGGAAGTCTTTTGTTGGAAGGGAAAGTAATTTTTAATCGTTTTTCTATTACAGCAATGCATTTATTTCAGAATACTGTTGATGGTACAGGAAATTTCACCTCCCCCTCTCACAATTAAAAACTCTGTGTAAAGATTTAAAATCTACCCTTTTTTAAAAAAAACATGAGTCATTTGCTGTGCCCCCAGCATGTGATAAAGAGCCTGGATAAATCAAGGTTGTTTCCCCCTCCAATGCATGCGTGTGGGTGAAGCTGGGATTCACAGTGTGTTCCTGATGATAAGGTACCAAGGGTTGCAATTTATCCTAGATGGGTTAATTTGTGCATATGTTGCCAGACTCCTGTCTGCATTCAGGAATGTCCTCATTACTCTCGCCTTAAAGATTCATGACAAAATTTGAATTCACAGTCTTAAAGGCAACATTGAATTTTGGATGATGGGAATGTGGCATGACTGTGAATATTTTGCTTGTGTTGGTAGAATTTGTAATGGTCTGTCTGCACCTGTAGGTTATGCTTGATATCCTTAGTCATAGATTAGGGTTCACTGCATTATACTAAGCCATAATGTAGTTTGTTTTGTTCTGGTTTACTTAGTTGTTCATTTTACATTTTTCAAACCCCGCCTTTATTATTTTTGTAAATAACTTAAGCTTGTTAAATTTATGCCTCAATTTTGGATCTCAAGGTGGCATATATATTCCTCCTCTTGTCTTTCCCCACAGCCACGGACCAGTGTGAGGTAGACTGAGAGAATGATTGCACCAGTCTCCCAGTAAGCTCCATTGTCAAGACTAACTAATAAAAATATTAACTAATACTTTTAACCCAGTGTTTCTCATTGCTGAAACAGCATTGCTGGCTGGGGAATTCTGGGAGTTGAAGTCCATACATCCTAAAGTTGTCAAGGTTAAGAAACACACCCTTAACCATACTTCAATCTTGAAACGAAGTCTTTAGGATGTAGACTAATACCTTAACTAAACTTCAGGTTTAATCTGAAATATGAACTCTGATGTTGGTATATTAACAACTGTAATGTCATTATTGTAAATTGGGCATTATGGGTTTGTGTGTGTGTGTGTGTAAATAACAAGTAGGTTTTAAAGCACATTTACCAACAGTCTCGACATAATTGCTGCATGTTGTTAAGTTGTCTCCGGTGTCTTTTACTGGGTTCTGTAAAGCTTGTTGCACATTGCATATTTGTCTCATGTATATTTAATACAGCTGGGAGTGAAGTTTAAAGAGTCAGTGATTGCTCTTGATGTGGATTTCAAGTAAGGTACAAGACATAATGAACAGGCTTGCTTTTCACACAAGCAGTTTTACCCCTCCCCAGCCCATGCAGTGGTCAATGTGGGTGGCTGTTGGCTTGGTCACGGGGTGGGGGGGTACTGGGCAGGCTGTGGGAATGATGTCTCTTAAATCGTTTGTGGCAGGTGCATTACTAGAAGAGATTTTAAAAATCTCATCAGTATGCAAAGGAATGAGAGCTTGGCTGAACTGTTATTATTGTGGCTGGATTGTACAAGGGTTTTAAAGTGCCATGTGATAAAAATCCTCCCTTATCTTGGTACACGGTGTCTCCTTTACTAGCCTATCCTGGTTGCAGAAAGAGTCCTATTAGAAATGCAGTGGTCCGGCAAAGGAGAAAAACAATAAATCAGTGTCTCTTTTACTGGCCCATTCCATTTCTAGCCCCCCTCCCACCCCCCAAATCTCAGGCTTTAGAGAGTAAAATGTTTTGCAAGCTATTAACTTGTGAGAAATGCCAGTAGTCCTTGACTTACCACAGTTCATTTAGTGACAGTTTGAAGGTACATCACTGAAAAAAGTGCCTGGTGACCATTTTTCACACTTGTGACCATTGCAGTATTCCCATGGTCATGTGATCAAAATTTAGATGCTTGGTAACTCGTTCATAATGTATTTATGATGGTTGCAGTGTCCTGGGACCAGGTGATCACCTTTTGGCAATGTCTGACAAGTAGAGTCAATAGGGAAGCCAGATTCATTTAACAACCACTATACTAACCTAACATCTCTCGTGATTCACTTAACAACTGAGGCAAGAAAGATCATCAAATGGGGCAAAATTCACTTAATAACTATTTCACTTAGCAACAGAAATGTTGGGCTCAACTGTAGTCGTAAGTCCAGGATTCACTGTAAAGCTTTCTTAGAAGGAAACTGAGAGCGTGATTCGTCTAGTTTTCAACATAGAGTTTGTTTTGCGCCTACTTGGACCGATCACCAAATCTTTCCTGATATTCCAGTTACCCACAGGATCCTGACTCTTGTAAACATCTGATTGTATAAGTGGCCATTAAGGTTACAGTTCAGCTGAGGGCTGATTTAATTTTTTGAAAATCCTGGTTTGCTTAAAACATTAAGATTCTAGTCCTTATGATTGCCAAGCTATTCCCAGCAGTGCTTTG